TCCAAACACACTCTGCCTGGGTGCGTGTGTGTGTGTGTGTGTGTGTGTGTGTGTGTGTGTGTGTGTGTGTGTGTGTGTGTGTGTGTGTGTGTGTGTCTGTGTGTGTGTTCGGATGTGGTGTAAGGGCTGTTCCAAGCCTGTCGCTCCTCTGACACACACACATACACACATACACACATACTCACACGTTTATGATTCCCCCCCCCCTCTTGCATGCTGCTCGAACAGGCGCGCGGGAGTTCTCAAAGAACCGCAAGTGCAATTGGTCGTCGGGGAAAGTGTGGTCCTCAGCATTCCTCTACAGGTCAGGCGACCACACCCACCACTCCTGCACCCACAACGCACAACTTGCACACATTGCGCACACCCACAAACCTGCTTCTTCCTCTCCCTTCCTCGCCTATCCTTACTCACACGCGTCACCATCCATCAAACCCGTATCACCTCCCTTCGTTCCCCCCACCTCCTACATCACCTCCTCCCTCTGTGCAGCGCCACGCTTGGCGGGTTTGGTGCTGATCGGTTCTACCTGGGCGACATTGGATATGGGGTGTTCAAGCTGCTGTCGTTTGGCGGGCTCGCTGTCTGGTCAATGGTTGATGCCATCCTCGTCGCCGTCGGCTTCCTCCACCCAGAGGGACACTGGGTCCTCGCATGACACGCACACAAGCTGCCTTTCTCGCCTAATCGTATTCTGCATGCCCATCTTAGCGTGGTGCTATCGCTCAGTCGTTGCTGTGCACATGTTCCAGCACCGTGCATTCAAGTCATGCGTTACACACAATGACAATACAACGACCAACATGCGAATGGCAACGACAATCACATGCACACACGCGCCCATGGCATGACGCGTCGTGATGTGACAGCCCGTACCCAACGCTGCCCCTCACTCGACCCCCCACTCCCCTTGACAGCGACACGTGCACGTTGTTTGTTCTCTGTTGTTTGTTGTCTGTTGTCTGTTGTCTGTTCTCTGTTGTCTGTTCTCTGTTGTTTGTTCTGTGTATTGAAGGGAGAGGTAACAGCTGGCTCGTTCTAGTTTTGAGCCAAGCAATCAATCACACAGCAGCGCAGGTCTTGAGGGGGGAACGGGGGGAAGGGGGGAAGGGGAGATGGAAAATGAACAACAGACAGTGCACATGGGTATGTGTATGTACAAGAGTGCGTGCACTGCTGGAGATAAAGTGCGTCTAGTATCGGGCAGCTAAGGTCACGCCAACAGAGTAGCAAGTGACAACAACAATAAGAAGCACACGTAACACAAACTGCAACAGCAAACGTATGTATGCACAACCTCTCACACCAACACCAACACGTAGCCATAAACGCACAAACATGAACACATGACATTCACTCAAGCGGCAACACAGTTGCTCAAACCTGTGCGAAAAGGAGAGATGGATGAATCCAAACACACACACACACACACACAAACACACACAAACACACACACACACACACACACACACACACACACACACACACACACACATATGAATGGCCGTCACGGCATTGCTGATCCTGGGAGCACGCCTGGTGGCGGCGAGGACGGGCGCGGTGACACATCACCATGACCACCACTTCCACTTCCACTTCCACTGCTATCGGCAATGAAGGTGCCAGTTCCATCACCATCGCCGCCTTGGCCACGGCGTGCGTGTGCTGACGGCACACTCCACAACTGCCGGTGCTCACCGCCAACGTGTCCGTCCTGGTGGCTGCTGCCCCTACCATCACCACCATCATGGCCGTGGTGGTGGTGCTGGTGGTGCAGCGGTGCGCTCACGTTGCCCTGGCGACGCAGGATGGTGAGTGACGACGATGATGCGCGCGACGGCGACGCTCGCACCAGCGGTGAGGACGTGAACGGCTGCTCTTCAAACACGCGCTGATGCTGCTGGTGCCGATGGGCGTCGTGTTGGCGGGCTGACGACGACGACGACGACGACGGCAGGGCAACAGCCGCACCTGGTGCTGTCGTTGCTGCTGTTGCTGTGCCCGCTGTTGCTGCAGTTGGCCGTGGTGGTGTCTGCGCAGCAGGGGCCCACGCCTCCACAATGGCGCCGGCGTCGGCGTCGGGCTCGGGAACAAATTCGCCCTCACTGCGGTGCCCGCCCAGCGATGTCGCAAACTGGCGGATACGCGAGAAGATGAACCCGCGACCGCGCGTCGTGTCGTTCTTGTCTGGCAGCACGGCAGCACTGCTCTCACCAGCCACGGGCGCTTGCAGTGATGGTGACAGACGCGATGGTGATGACGGTGATGATGGTGATGATGGTGATGATGGGGATGCACGGGTGCGTGCACCTGCCGTCGTGCCTGTCGCTGGTGGCGGCGACGGTGGTGGCGGCAGCGACACAAACGGCGGGGTGGCCGGGTGAGACGAGGCAGGCCCTGTACTAAACAGGGGAAGCGGCGAGGTTCCATGCTGCTGCTGTTGCTGGTGATGATGCGGGTGGTGGCCATCAGCGCGAGCAATGGAAGGCAAGTCTGCAAAGCGCAGCGCCGTGTGCGCACCGGCAGCGTGTGCTGGGATGCTGTGTACGCTTTCTGCAGAGTCGACGCTGCGCTGCGGCACGAGCGGGGCGCGGTTGTGCATGCGATCCATCACCTCAAGCTCCTCACCCGGTGGTGCTCGCTCCGCCTCAGACATGAGCGACATGTCGTGCTCGTTCACGTCCTCCTCCCCACCACCGCCGCGTCCATCATCATCATCATCGTCACCACGGTCATGATCAGCAGGCGAGCGGTCCGCTGTAACCTGCACTTCTTCCTCAACAATTGCTGCTCCATTGGTGCTGCCGTCATCTTGCTGCTCCTTCTGGTGCTGTGTGCCTGACGCAGCCTGCGTGCGTGTGCCACCACTGCTGCTGCTGCTGTTGCTGTTGCCACTGCGGTCCCAGAAGTAGCGGAGGCGGTGGTGGAGGGGCCGGCGGTGGTGCGTCCGGCGCTCGGGCGGCGTCGCTCGCTTCTTTGCGCCCTTCCCATCCTCACCACAACCGACAGCGGCATCACTGGCGCCGTCGCCATCGCCATCGTTGTCGTTGTCGTTGTCGTCGCCAGTGTCGACAGGACTGTCCTGGTTCACCTCTGCCTTGTTCCCATCACCGCCACCATCCGTCTTCGCTGCACCCGAGAGTGTAAGTGTTCGCTTGACCACCCGCCGTCCAGACACGACGTGCCCGCTACCAAGCCTGCTCCGCGGGGCGCCACTGCCCGTGCTGCTGCGGCGGCTCGTGCTGCCGGGACTCCCAGCAAACGGAGCATAGTACCCCTGTGTCTGCGCAGTGCCGTGGGCGTGAAGGTGGGCGTGGGCGTGTGGCTGTGGGCCAACATGCACGGGTGTGTGTGGGTGGTGGTGCGAGTGGTGCGAGTGGTGCGAGTGGTGCGAGTGGTGCGAGTGGCGGTGCGGGTGCAAGTGCTGGCGATGGGAATGGTGCGGCGAACCAGCAGTCGTTCTCGACAGCGACGACCCCACGCCAACCGCTGCTGCTGGTGCTGCCGTTGTCGCTGCTGTTGCATTGCTGTTCGTGGTGGCGGATGCATTGGAGTGTGTCATGCCCTCGTCGAGTGCCGCCGCTGCTGCCACTGCTGCCTCAAATGCCGCCTGCACGTCCTCGGCCGTCTCCCCGCTCCGCTGCCGGTGCAGGAACGACCGTGGCGGTGTCGTGGCTGTTGTTCCTGTTGCTGTTGCTGTTGCTGTTGTTGCAGCCATCGTTGCCGCCTTGGCGTGGGGACGGATGGTCTGATAGGGCACGAGCGGTGGGATGTGTGGCCGATGGTCACCACCGCCACCACCACCGCCACCGCTGCCGCTGCCGCTTGGAAAGTGTTCGCTCTTGGGCCGCTGTGGTGGACCCTCGACGCGGTGCTGGGGCGATCGCTTCACCCCTTCAAGCGCCAGGCTCATCGCGGTCTTGCGCGGGGAATCGGGTGGCGACGACGAGTGGGGCAGCAGCGCAGCCGTGCTCTCGTCCAGGCCACCGCCGCCATCGCCCTCACCCTCGTCATCGTCGTCGTTGGTGGTGGTAATGAACACGTCCCCGGGTGCAACGCGGCCGCGGGGGCGGTGGGCAATGCAGCGGCCATCACTCCCTACATCACCATCATCCCCATCATCCCCATCATCCCCATCATCGCCATCGCGGTTGGTGTAGCGGCCAACACGGGTGGCGGGCGTGGTGAGCAGCGGCGTGAGCGGACTCGACGGCAGCATCGTGGTTGACGTTGTCGTCGATGCTGTCGTTGTTGTTCCCGGTGACGACGGTATCGCCAGTGCTGGTGCACCAGTTGTTGCATCTGTTGCCTCTCCTGCTGTGTCCGCGGCAGCAGCAGCGTGCGTGCTGGCTGATGAGGCAGCAGAGGCGAGAAGGCGGCGGGCAATGGAGCGCCGCCCGGACAGCGTTGGTGTCGACACGGCCTTGTTCTGCTCGCCAAGCTGCTCGGGCTGGTAGTCGTGGCGTCATCGGTTTTGAGGAGAGGGGAGGGGATAAGAGGTGAGCCGTGGTGATTGGAATGGCGGTGGTGGAAGCAAATCGACAACAGCGTCGAGAAAATGGGGGTTTGAGCAAACACACAAAACACACAAACACACACAAACACATGTGCAAGGTCCGCTGGCGCCACGCACCTGGTACGCATCGTCTTCGTCGCTGTGCTTGTCGCCGTCGCTGTCCCTGTCGCGGGCGCGCTGCTGTACACCTGTACCGAGCGAGAAAAACAAAACAGGGATAAGAAAGAGTGGCGTGACAAGAGTGTGAAGAGGCGGCAGGAGGATGAGCATGGAGGTGAGCAACATGCAGGTAGTGTTGCCGATACCAGTGCGGAACAAACAAACACGCACACAAACAAACAAGCGCAAGAACAAACAAAACACACAACAAGCACGAGACCAAACAACTGCAAGAACAAGCACGAGAACAAAGACACACACACGTGTTCACGAGTACGGCCATGGTAACTGACTTGGCTTCATGCGAGGGAAGGTCTGGTTGACATCGTGGGGCATAATCTCGAGATAGTTGTTGGGCTCCTTCGCCATGGGTACACCAGCACTCGTGTCCTTGCCGGTCTTGCTCGTGAACACATCCTCAACACTATCGTTGCCCTCGCTGTCTTTGCCGGCACCAGCTGTCATTGGAAGGGGGTGAATAGTCAGGGTGTGGTGACGTGGTGGAAGGATAACGAGCGTGTGAGCGCAAAAATTGAGTGGGCCAATGAACGTTCAAAGAGATAGTGGGCGGCATGAGGCAAAGGGGAGGTGTGACACGTGAGGAGGTGACACGTGGGTGCACAACGGCACATTTGACGGCATTGGTGTTGCAACAATCCACAAATAACACGCGTCCGCACACTCACGTGGATCAAAAAGTTTCGTGAAGGCCGGTTTGCGCCGGGCGAGTGGCGAAGACACCTGCAGGCAAAAAAGACAACGGGGACGGAATGGGTGGTGGACATGGTTGTGAGCATAATGAAAGTGCATACGGTTCGCACATATACGTACATGCAGGTGCAAGCAGAAAGCACGCACGCAAATAGATGCAACCACAAACGCCGTGTGCGTGTGCGTGTGCGTGTGCGTGTGCGTGTGCGTGTGCGTGTGCGTGTGCGTGCGCGTGTGCGTGTGCGTGTGCGTGTGCGTGTGCGTGTGAGTGTGCGTGTGAGTGTGCGTGTGCGTGTGCGTACTTGGGGCGCAGTGGTTGAGGACGAGAGGCGCCGCGGTGCTGTCTTGGACACCTCTGACGACCGTGCAGCCGCCTGGCTCGACGCCTGGTTGTGTGGTCGTGCGCAGTGAAGTGTGCTGTGAGTTACGGTGTGTGACATGTGGCAATCGAGCCAACGCACGGTATGATGTGACGAGCACATCGGCCACAAGCCACATGCGTCCACGCAAATGCACACACACACACACACACAAGCATGCACCCAAAACTCCAACAACAAACACGTGCACAAGCACGCGCACAGAGTGTATGCATGCGGCACCTTTGTGTCGTCCGAGACGGCCATGGACTCGATTCCGGACGTTGCTGCCGATTTGCCTGCAAGCTCGTCCGAGCCGCGACGCGCGATCTCCTTTGCCAGCGACGCTACCACTTGTGCTGTTGTCGACGGCGGTACTGCCATGCCCACGTACGACCGCTGTTTGATGATGATGATGATGTTGTGTGTGTGTGTGTGTGTGTGTGTGTGTGTGTGTGTGTGTGTGTGTGTGTGTGTGTGTGTGCATGTGAATGCATGTGTATGTGAGTGCGTGTGTATGTATGTGTGTGAATGCATGTGTATGTGTGTGTTTCGCACACACATCGCACGGAAAGAAGGGATAGCAAAACGACCGTAACCCCTCCCCTCCCCGGGGGCCTCTCACGTGCACACAAACCAACACAATCACGACAAGAAGAGCCCACCTGAAGTGCAGCGAGCTCCTTCTCCCGTGCGCCCTTGCTGTCATCGCTCGCAGATCGCGACAACTCCGGCGCGTGCGCAGTCCAAACACCACCGCCAACACCTGTCAGAGTGGATGAACTCGTGGTGGTGGTCGCCCCGCCTGCCCTGTCGCCTCTGCTTGATGAGCCAGTAGCAGCTGCTATTGCAGTGGTGGAAGATGGCGTGGTGGTGCGGCTGTTGCCGGTGCTGGTGTTGACGGTGGCAGCAGCTGTCGATGACACTGCACCAACAGCAGCACCAGGGGCAGCAGTGGACGCATTCGTCACACCACCACCACCACCACCACCACCACCAGCAGCAGCAGCAGCAGCAACCGCAGCGTCGATGTTCGTCTCCTCGGTTGTCTCTGGATCGCCGACAACGGTGCGTATGCTCTCGAGCGTGGCGGCGAGGGCGTCGAAGGACGGACGGCGAAGCGGATCAGGATGCCAGCACTCAATCATCACCCTGACACACACGCGCACACGCATATGGAGAGACGAGGCGCAGGGGTGGTGGAATGGGGGTGGTGGGGGTGAGCGAGCGTGTCTGTGTCTGTGTCTGTGTCTGTGTCTGTGTCTGTGTATGTGTCTGTGTCTGTGCCTGTGTGTGTCTGTGTGTGTCTGTGTCTGTGTCTGTGTCTGTGTCTGTGTCTGTGTCTGTGTGTGTCTGTGTATTGTCTGTGTGTGTGTGTGTGCGTGTGTGCGAATTGTAGATGAGACAGGACAAGTACGATCCACAAGTACAATCCAAGACCAAAGCCACGGCACGCTATGCTGTGCAGACCTGTAGATATCGACGGGGCACTGGATGGGCGGGTGCAGGCGCTCGCCCCTGTGCACGGCGGCGACAATCTTGCTGTCGGTCATCTGCCCAAAGGGACGCTCCCCACGCGACATAATCTCCCACAGCACAACCCCAAACGCCCACACGTCCGTCATCCTGGCATCGTGTCATGACAACGCACGTGTGAGTTGCCAGAGAGGACATGGCTTGGTGTGGCGTGCAACAAGCAATCGCATGGGCATGCACACACACACACACACAAACACACACACAAACACACTCACTCTCACCACACAAGCAACCACACACAAAAGCACACACTAATGCCACCACACAAGTAACCGCACACACACACAACTGAAGACGCACGTGTTGTAGCATCCTGGGTGTACTGCACGGTGTGTGCCTGCGCTGCAATGACGTGGAGGGGGACATCGAGTCCGCTGTCACCAGACCGCCGCCACGCAAGCGTCGCCACCACCTCCGCTGGTGGTAGCAGCTCGCGTGCTGCCCAGCGTATGCGCAGGTCGGTTGCCGTGTTGGATGTGTCTGAGACATCACGCGTGACACCAAAGCCACCAATCTTGCACGTGCAGTCAATGTCAACCACCACGTGCTGGGCAGTCAGATCCTGTGCACAGCGGGCAACAGTCGTGGCGATGGTGGTGGTGGTGGTGGTGAGGTTGGAGAAATGGGAGGGAGTTGGAGGCACGTGAAAATGGAAAGTGCTTGGCACACAAGCACACACACACACAAGAATGCACACACACGCACACGCACACGCGCGCATTTACACAAGAATGCACGCACGCACATACACACGCAGCAGGGTACTCACCCCTACGACAAAGGAGTGGTGAGCCAAGTAGCGCATGCCGGCAACAACGTCGCACATCATCTGGACCTGGAGATAAGGAAGAAACAGGACGGGGCAGGAGTTTGGGCTGGTGTGAGCGAACCAAAACCCAAATCAACAACAGACAGCCATAACCCCTCAACGAACATGCCATCCATCCAAGGCATCATCACCAATCACCAATCATCACCATTGGACGCACCTTGCGTGGGAGCGACGTACTCTCGCTGGACATGCGCAGGTAGCGGTCCAGCGGGCCCTTCTCCACGTGCTCGTACACCGCCGCAAACCCATGGGGCGAATCAGGTGCTACGCCAACAAGCGCAAGCACGTTGCGGTGCGTAAACTGGGCTGCAATCACAGCCTCCTGCAGCAGCTTCGTTCTGCCGATGTCACTGAGTGCTGTCTTCATGTCCACGGAAAGAGGTGCCGTGTCGCCGTCAATGTTGCGCAATAGCGCGCGGTGCGTCTGTGTAAAGTGGCCCGATGCAATGCTCTCAAGCACCTGCGCAGGTGGGGGAGAGCGAAGTTGGCAGGTGGGGGAATGTGATTAGGGGGGGGGACGTGTGAGTTGATTATGGGGAGGTGCCCATACGTGGTGGTGGAGGGAATGGCGTGCAAACACAAGGAACACACACACACATAAAGAGAGAGAGAGAGAGAAAAACAAAAAACAAATACGAACCATGTAAACACACACACAAACGCACGCACACACAAACACACACACACAAACGCACGCACACAAAAACACACACACACACACGCATACACAGAAACAAATACAAACACGCACGCACCGTGAGGTTTGATCGAGGAAACTTGCGAAAGTATGGCTCGTCGATCATCTCCATGAGCTGTTCGTACAGCGGGGGCGGGTGCTCGTAGCCCTTCAGGTGCGCACGTGCCAACATCGGGTCGGCCAGCAGCTGGTGGTGCCGCGTCAACTGCAGCTCAAGCGCCTCTGCGTCGCTGTCAAAAGCCAAACCCCGGTCCACCCTCACTTTGCATGCGCCATCTCTCGTGGACGCTATCTTGGTTAATGATGACGGCTGGGCCTTTGTTGACGATGAGGAGGAGGAAGAGGAGGAGGAGGAGGGTTGCTTGGCGCCTGACCAGCAATAGCAGCAGCAGTTGCTGTTGCGGCAGCACGAACAGCAGCGACTGCATCCGCAGCAGCACAGCACGACGGTCACAATGACAAGGATGACAATCAGCGCGCCGGCCCCTATCATGTAGTAGAGGTACTCCTCGTACCATGGCTCCTTGTCGGTGCCAGAGCCACGTGTTGGCCCAGCTGTCGGTGTGGGTTCGCTCGTTGCTGTTGTTGTTGCGTTGTGTGCTGTTGATGAAGATGGGGAGGACGCAGCTGGGTTGACCACAGTCTTGGTGGTCGTGTTGTTTGCTGTAGTCACTGTTGTTGTGGTTGTCGCAGTGGTTGTTGTTGTGGTTGCTGTTGTTGTAGTTGTTGTTGTGGTGGTGGTGGTGGTGAACACCGCTGTTGTTGCATTCGCTGCAGTTGTGGTTGTTGTTGTGGTCGCATTCACTGTGGTTGTGGTTGTGGTGTCGTTGGCTGCACGGCGGTGTATGTCGTGGCGAAGGAGAGGGGTGTTGGCAGGCAGCACAAGGCGCGCACGCAGCGGACTCGCGGCCGGTACGGGCGCAGCATCGGCGCTGCCAGGACACACCAGCACCGTCAACGGCACGAGCATGGCCGAGGACGTGAGCAGGAAGAAGAACAAGGTGGCAAGCGCCGAACCCGCGCGCCCGCCGCCAACGCTGCTCGTGTGAGTGGCAGGCAGCACAGTGCGTCGACGCTGCCGCCTCGCTGGAGCCCGCGTGCGCTCCCCTGCGCCACCATCATGGACACAGCTCAAGGCCTTGTGTGCTCGCTGCGGCGGTGGTGGCTGTGGCTGTGGCAGACGCATCACGTGGCGTGTGGGAGGGAGGCGTGGCTTCAGGTCCACTTGCACCCTGGTTTCCCGCACCCGCGTGACACCCAAAACCGGATCTGTTACAAAGAGGGTGCAGATCTCAGCCACGCCATGCGCTTGCGATGCACTGAGGAAAAGAAGAGGTGGGTGGATGAAGAGATATGTGGAAGGGGGGTTACACAAGAGGCAAAGAGAGAGGACGAGTGACGCTCGCAGTGGGTTGTGTAACGAGGAGGAGGGGGGTGCTATAGCAGAGGGAGAAGGACAATTGAAAGATACGCAATGAAGAGAATTGGGGGAGGGGGGAATCAATGTGAGTCTTGGATGCTGCACTGTGAGGAGAGCTTGAAAGGTGTCACAGACACACAGGCACACGGATCGACGTGTGTGTGACGACACCCACAACGGAGAGATTGAAAGAGTATGTGTGAGGGAGGGAGAGTGTGTGTGATGCGTTGTTCGTGTTGTTCTTGTTGTGTGGGCGAGGCACAACACCAACCAAGCGAGCAAGCAAGGCAAGCGACCAAGGCCAGGCGTCCTTCTTTGTTGTTGGCGTGCGTGTGCGCGCGTGTGGTGCAGGGGGTGGGTGGTCTCAAACCTCGTCTTCGTTCGTCTCCGCCTCCTTCCGCCTTCTTGAGAGAGTGGGCGGTGCCAAGAAAAAAAAAACAACGACAGGGAAAACTCTCGTCATGCGCGTTGCCGAAATATAGAGTAAAACATTCGTCATTATTCGTTGGGATGTCATGTCGTTGACAGCAATGCGGGACCTGATTGGTCGGTTGCTGTTGGCGTTGCCGTTGCAGTGTGTGTGTGTGTGTGTGTTGTGGGGTCGGGGCGATGTCGCGGGGATGGTTTGAATTCGTGTCTCAGTGTCTGTGTGTCTGTGTGTGTGTCTGTGTGTGTGTGTCGGGTGTCTGTCTGTCTGTCTGTCTGTCTGTCTGTCTGTCTGTCTGTCTGTCTGTCTGTCTGTCTGTCTGTCTGTCTGTCTGTCTTGTGTTTGCATCTATGAATGTGTAGATGTGTATCCCGTGTGTGCTGATTGTAAGTCTCTGTCTGTCTCTCTCTGTCTCTCTCTCGCACGCACTCCCTCCCTTCTTCCCTGTTACGTCTCTCTGTCTCTCTCTTCATGCGCGGATTTCATTCACACACACACAACACCAACAGCCACAATTCACCAGCAGTAGCATCACAACTTCAGTAGCAGCAATCATTCACAAACACGCACAAACACGCACACATACGTACACGCGTACACACGCGCATACATCGTCCCTCCTCGTGGCCTGTCACTGTACCCAGATGCGCTTTGCCCACCACCACCACCACCATCACCACCCCCCCGGTCCCTGTGATTCACTTGCGCTGGGGCGGTGGGGAAAGGGAGCCCACCTTGGTCTGCAGCTTCTTCTTATCCTGCCTGTGCACGTTTCGTTGCGCAAGCTGGTTGATGATTGAGACAAGGAAGAACGCAATCATCCCAATCACCAGCACTGCCATCACCACGGCAAACAGGTTCGTCTGTACACGGGGTGCATTGACAAGGGAGATGAGCGAGTGGTTGGAATGGAAAATGGGTGGGTGAATGGATAGTTGGTTGGCATGGGCGGTGGGTTTGAAGAGGGGGGCACGGTAGTGTGTTGCGTGCTGAGTGCTGTGTGCTGAGTGATGTGTGATGTGTACTGCATGTCGTGCGTTGTATCCGTTGCGTGTGGACAAACATCAACAAGCAAAGATAGCAACGAGACGGCAAGCAAAGGTAGCACCCGCAGTGAGCAAGCACACCCGCCACGTGCTGCTGACCTTTGGTTCCTCGACGTGGTTGCTCATAAACTTGGCCTCTGTGCTGGCGCGCATCTCCCGCAGCGATTCCGCAGCAGACGGGCCTGAGCAAGGAGGGGGGGTGTGAGGATAAGTGGGGAGTGAGGACAAGGCAAGGGATGTGTGTGTGCATGCGTGTGTGTGTGTGTGTGTGTGTGTATGTGTGTGTGTGTGTGTGTGAGTTTGTGTGTGAGTTTGTGTGTTGTGTGGATGAGGAACCAGCCACACCAGATCGTGTGCAGTGGTTGCATCTGTTGTGCAATTCACACATCATCATCAACACTCACACGCAAACATAATCATACACACGCACACACGCACCGATGAGTGGGATGCCTGCGAGGGCGTCGAGGACGCCGTTGAACACCGGTTTGCTCATGGAGGTGACGAGGATGAAGACCTGGATGTGCACCTTTACCACCGCCTTTCCTAGGACGGTGGCCGAGAAAAAGGTTGTGAAGGGGATCAGGAAGTGGCCGCAGGTGATGCCGGCCAAGTCAAAGAGCGGATTCGGGATGGCTGCACACGCAAAGATGCCCCAGAACCCGGCACGCTGCACCAAGTTGTGCACAAAGCGCTGCAACAGCCGCAGTATGTGTGTGTGTGTGTGTGTGTGTGTGTGTGTGTGTGTGTGTGTGTGTGTGTGTGTGTGTGTGTGTGTGTGTGTGTGTGTGTGTGTGTGTGTGTGTGTGTTGTGCGGTGAGGTTGTGAGAAGAAGAAAAATCAAGCAGACAACACAAACGCATGCGAGCACACGCACACGCACCACGCACAGGCACGCACGCACCGCGTGCACACATTGGTCGCAGCAGGACACCCACCTTTGTGCGGGCAACAAAATTTGCGCTCTCGTCCTTGAGCGTCTCATGGAACTCCTCCAAGTCCTCATCATCAGGGTCCTCCCCGCTCAGTCGCGCTGCACGGGGGAAGGGGGTACACAACGACAGAGGCAAGGGTGAGTGGTGGTAATGGCAATGGTGGCAGTGCTTGTGGTGCTGGGTGGTAACTCTGGATCCACACTTGATTCCGTGTACACACACACACACACATTCACACACACACACATTCACACACACACGCACACACATGCACACACACCTGCGCGCGCGACAAAGTATGGCGGGAGTTCGCCAATGGCGGTGCCGGCGCCCCACATCATCGCAGGATAGCGGATCTGAGGCCACGGAGGAGCACACGCAAACAGTGGTGAGGGAACGGCTGTTGTGGCAGTGCCGTTTGTTCGCTCACGTGCTCCTTGCTCCTAGCGCGAGGAACAAGCAGTGCAAAACAACGTATATTCCTCGACACACACAACACGACACACACACAACACGACACACAGTCACACGACACGAACACAGCGCCACACACAGCGCCACACAACATACACGCACACCTTTGAGATGACTGCGAGGATGGTGATGGGGTCGGTCCAGCCACCCTCGGGCTCTGGCGGGCAGTCCACGGCAGACCACCTGACACAGATGATGTGGATGGATGAGCGCGTGTGATGACGTGCTGCATGTTATGGGGAGCACAGTTTTGCACCCAACGCAGCACATGACAACACACACGCACACACGCACATGCACAAGAAACCACATTGCATGATATCGCATGACAGCACATCACAACATCACAACACATCACAACGCAACCACCTCACACATGACAAGACTTTCACACAAGCGCTCTGGCTGCAGCGCAAACCCACGTGCTCTGGCGAGTGGAGTCAATCTGGGGCCCAAAGTCGAGTGTTCCGCAGGCATACGCGTGCATCGTCACGTGCGCAATGTACGGGCCCTGGCGGTCATACGGGCGTGTGGTGTGATACGACGGTGTTGTGGTGACGGGGAGGCAGGTAACGAGGCAGTGCAATTGAAAACTCAGCTTGAAGAATGAGCAAACACTGCACTTGTTTCACCATTCACATGCGCACAACAGTGCACACACACACACACAGTGCACGCGCACACACACACACACACACACACACACACACACTTGCGGCCACTCACGAGGAAGAGGATGAAGGTGTGGAGACCTGTGCCAAGGCCCACGGAAGAGAGGATGCCAAGGAAGCACCAGAACGCCGCTTCCTTGATCTTGTACGCAACATACTGCAACTCCTGAACCGGCAAATGAGAACAAGAATAGGCAGCGCACACAGCATGGCACCAGTAAAGTCACGCGTTAGCCTGCAGCCTATGCTTTCGACACGACCCTTCGGAAGCAGCAGCATTGAAAACGCACCACACAGAGAGGAAGAGAGAGAGAGAGAGAGCGCGCGCGCAGCGTACACACTGAACACACACGCACACACACACACACACACCGGTGACGTTGTGGTCATGAGGATGTATGCGGCGTAGCTAGTCAGGGACAGGACTCCAAACACAACAAACTTGCGGTTCCACACCCTGCACAAGCACATACAAGGGAGTGGTGATGAGCAACACGTGAGTGACAGCAGTCACGCACACACACGCACACACGCGCACACGCACACACGCGCACACGCACACATGCGCACACGCATTCACACACACACGCATTCACACACACACGCACACACGCACACGGAACACACCAAACCCCAACCCCCGAGACCAAGCCCGTGGCGGTTAAACAGGCAGCAGCCACTACTGCCATCTGTGCACACACCATTCAAGCAAGGAGAAGAGAAGGACGCCCAGCTCAAGCACAAAGTGGAACAGCGTGGCCAGTGGCTTCTTCCACAGCACCACTTGTTTACGTGCGGCACGCAGCTCATGCTTGAGGGCGGCCAGCTTCTCCTCGCGAGCTGTTGCCAGCGGTTTTCCCAACACGACGGAGGTGTGAGCGGCGCTGTGCTGACAACAACGTGTACATTTCACCAGCACATGATCCCTGATCTCCCTGCATCCACGTGATCCCTGATCTCTCTTCTTTCACAGCCAACCTTTTTTTGAATATCCCGACACCCACACACACACACACACATGGCACCCAATCCGAAAATTCAACGCACCTTTGCTGGCCTTGTCCTCCTCTGTTGATGGTGATGAGCCCGCCTTGCGCGGGCGCACCTTCCCAGAAGCCGTGCTTGCCATGTGTGTTGTAATGACAGCCTCAACTGGTTGTTAGCTGGCTGGTTTGCTTGATTGCTTGCTTGTATGCACTTGGGCTTGCTGTGGATAAAAACCGATCGATGTCTCTGTGCGTGTGTGGATGTGGATGCAGATGTGTGTGATTATGGGTGTGTGTCTATGAGCGTGGATGTGCTCTTATTTGGGTGGCTGTGTGGATGACACGACAGTCGTCGTCGTCGTGGTCGCTCTTGTTGCTTGCTTGCTTTGGTTGGCCAGCCAGCCAGTCAGATGAATACATTTTGTGGTGTTTTATACGGCTGTGACGTTTGCTGCCAAACTTGACAGCTCGAAAAAACCGGTTTGGAAAGTCTGCAGGTGTAACAGCCAAGAACCGGAAAAACGGCCAAAACCTCGTGTGTGTGGTTTCCTTCCTTCCTCCCTCTTGCTTGCAAACTTTCATTTCCTCACTGCCTGTCTTCTTCTTCTGCGTGCGTCACTGCATCCTCCGCCTGCCTCTGCATACGACTGCGACCGAGTTCCCGCGTCTTCTCCCCGACCCTCCCTGACCTCGCAAAAGGCAACCCTCGCCATGGCACAACAAATGTCTGCACAGGAGTTCACGGGCCCCCGCTTCAAGGTAGACAAACGAAAGGGAGATAGCGAGAGCGACACTGTTTGTGGTTTGTTGCGTGGGCGGTCTTGTGTGAGTCAACCACTGTCACGACGACCGCCCTCGTGAAACCGCGCGAACGACACACATCATTATCATCATCACAGGATACGGCGTACACTTGCTGACTTGCTTGTTGTTTTCTCCCTGTGTGTGTGTGTGTGTGTGTGTGTGTGTGTGTGTTCACAACCACTCTCACTCACCTTGGTTGCCTTGCGGTTTTACCCATTGATTTTGCACAACAAGCTCGTGCTTGTTGGTGATGGTGGTACCGGCAAGACCACCTTCGTCAAGCGCCACATCACTGGCGAGTTTGAGAAGAAATACGTCGGTACGTCATCCGCCCAGCTTCTGCCAGCATGCATGCTTTTCTGCTTGCTCGCTCGCTCGCTTGCTTGCTTGCGAGTGCTTCTGCTTGCCTGCTCCTTTTGTGCCTGCTTTTCAACTACTTTTGTTCATCTCACCAACTCACATGACTTTTGTGTGCTCTCATCCACACCCTGTCACGTGTTATGTCTTCCTTCCTTCCCTTCCTTCCCTTTCCTCCCTACGTTACGTCTTCCTTCCTTCCCCGTCCACCTTTGCTTGCTTTGCTTTGCTTTTGACAGCCACCCTCGGTGTCGATGTGCACCCTCTCATGTTCAACACAAACCACGGCCCCATCTGCTTCGATGTCTGGGACACGGCCGGCCAGGAGAAGTTTGGTGGCCTCCGTGACGGCTACTACATCAACGGCAACGTGAGTTTGCAACCTTGTCATATGCGAACGTTCGTGCGTGCCTGTGCCTGTGTGTTTGTGTGGCTTTGTCTATGTGCGCGTGGGCGCACACCAATGTGCATAAGCTCCCGCGTTGATGATGGGGGCGGGCTGTCATGCTCCTCTTCACTCAGCACGCATCATACATGGTGATTTCACCAGCTTCTTCCTGTTCTTCCTGTTCTTCGTGCCACCAACTTCTCACCCTCATGTTTTTTCTCTTCCTCCCTCTTTCCCTTGCCTGCTTTGTCACACGCAGTGCGCCATCATCATGTTTGACGTGACGGCCCGTATCACATACAGCAACGTTCCCACGTGGCACCGTGACCTTGTCCGCGTGTGCGACAACATCCCCATGGTCCTGTGCGGTAACAAGGTCGACCTGTCCAAGGAGCGCCGCGTGAAGCCCAAGCAGATCACCTTCCACCGCAAGAAGAACCTGCAGTACTACGACATCTCCGCCAAGAGCAACTACAACTACGAGAAGCCCTTCCTCTGGCTCGCGCGCCGTCTCTCCGGCCAGCCCGACCTCGAGTTTGAGGCAATGCCTGCGCTCGCCCCTCCCGAGGTACGACGTCTGCTTGTGGGTGTGTGGGTGTGGGTGTGCGTGTGGGTGGGTGTGTGTAGTGCATGTATCTGTGCGCGTATGCGTGTCAGTCGGGTATTTTGTCTGTGTTGTTGGCAGCTTTGCATCAAGCAGTCCTTGTGCGTTCTTCGTTTTCTCGCTGCCCTGCTCTTCATAGCCGCTGCTCACGTTCGTGCTGGGTGCTGCTTGTTGCTTGTAGGTTGCGATGGATGCTGCCGCTGTTGCCCAGGCCGAGCGTGAGCTGCAGGAGGCCCAGCAAGCGCCGCTCCCCATCGACGACGACGATGACTTCTAAGCTGATCAGTGCCACCACTACAAGAACCCCTCTCCCACCCCTTGCACACGCACACACAATCGCTCCCCTTCTTTATCATTGCAATGATTTGACACACAACAAGAATCTCGCGAAACTCTCCTTTTGTTGTTGCCAGCTTCACGCACTGCATGTTGCCCTTGTTTCTCTTCAGCTGTGTATGGATATTGTGTCCTTCCTCTGGCGTTGTTGACGTGCTGTTGCTGCTCAGCAGATATGGAGGCACGTTCACGAGACCTTGTCTTCCCTTGTGCCGTCCTGCTCTTCTTCCCACCCTGCTCCATCTCCTCCTCCTCCTCTGTCCGTTTGCATTGCTTTCATGCCTGTCTCCTTTGTGTGTGTGATGGCGTGCCAGACAAACAACATCACCAACAAGCACACGTTTCACTCCCTCTGTGTTGCTGTGATTGTACATGCCGCAGCAACCTGCCTTCCTTCCTCCTCACTCCCTTCTTCTTCTTCTTCTTCTTTTGCTCGTTTGTTCTCTCTTGTCCCTCGCTTGTGCTTGTCGTAGCCTGTCGCTTCGCCTTTCACAATGAATGAAATCGTAGATACCAACAACGTCAAAAGCACGCTTCTAATTTTGCCATGATGGCGGACATACAAAGGCACGCAGACGCACACATAAAAGAGGTGTGTTACAAATACGCTCGACACACTCAACAAGCAACACACTGTAGAGAGAAGGGTGACAGGGGTGGGTATGAGGGCGGCTGCGACACACGCACTCACACTCACACAGTTCTGCTGGTGCTCAGTTGTCGCCTTCGGCCTTCTCTTCCTCCTCAATCTTGAGCTTGAGGGAGGCGAGCTGCTCCTTGAGCTCAGCAAGTCTACATCAATGCAGGGCACAAAGAAACAGCCAGGGGGAGGGGAACGAGTGAGGAGTTGATGGTGTAGTACTGCGTTGCTGATGTCATGTGTGAAAGGCATAACGAGCGAGAGAGACACGACACACAATCACAATCACAATCACAAGTGCGTACTTTGTCTCTGCTGGGGCGCAGTCTTCTTCGCTTGCGTTGGCGACGCGGAGATCACGCAGAGCCTTCGCCTGCTGACCGACCTGTTTGGAAAGGGGTGCGGTGCAGTTCATGGACACACAGTGGTGGTGAGCGTCATGCACAGACAAAGACCACAGGCTCGTGTGTACCCCTTGACGACAAATAAGACCGAGGAGAGAATGCGTGTGTGTGTGTGTGTGTGTGTGTGTGTGTGTGTGTGTGTGTGTGTGTGTGTGTGTGTGTGTGTGTGTGTGTGTGTGTGTGTGTGTGTGTGTGAATGTACATCAACATGCGAATTGGATGACCTAGACTAGTTATCTTTTTCTTTTCTCTTTATGTGTTGTAGTTGCTTTTGTTTTTTTTTTTTATTTCTTTTATATGATTGTTGAGGTTTCGTATGGATTGCATACAGATATAGAGAGTCGGTGGGAGGTGACAACATATGCTACACGTGTCTACAG